GGGGAGCTTAACCGATACCAGCTTGTCGCCTTTGGCTCCCACAAGAATAGCTTCAACGAAACCCTCATCGGGATCAGGAGCCCAGACGGACTTCTTGGGGTCGTAAGGCTTCGTTTGATCGATGCGCTTTTGTTCAGGGGAAACGAAGAGATATTCAGTGGGGTCGGGGTCGGGACCCGTGCTCTTCACAACGTGGCCGGGCATGCTGGTGGTGCGTGCGGAGCGACTACGAAGAGGAACTCAAGTACAGCCGGTGGGTACTGAAATTTCCTGAAAAAGATGAAAATTCGTATTTTGGGTGAGGAAATATAGATCGCTAGTTCCTTCATCACCATGGATAATAATGCTATTAAGATTAATGCTATCATTGTTATTACTCTTTTCATTATTATCGTTATTTTCATTATTACCTCCGCCAAGGATGTTATGATTTTGACGGCGTTAGTTTGTTGGTCGGATTTCATCGAAATTTTGGGGACAAGTCAGAAAGGGACTAACTTAGAACTGATTTTGGTGACATTCCGAATTACCGTCTGGTTATTATTATTATCATTATTTATTTAATCAATAAATTTACTATCCAATCTACGGTAAACGTGTGCCACATTTCACCATCTCCCATTTTATTGTTATTGTTACCTCCGCCAAGGAGGTTATGTTTTTGACGGCGTTGGTTTGTTGGTTTGTTAGCAGCGTAGCTCAAAAAGTGCTGGCCGGATTTCACGGCAGCAGCGGTGTAAGTACATTATATACGCACCTTGGCGGAGGTCTGCACTCTCTGAGTGCTTTTCTAGTTATCATTATTTTCATTATTATCACTATTTTCATTATTATCATTATTTTCATTATCATCATTATTATTTTCATTATTATCATTATTATTTTCATTATTATCATTATCATTATCATTATTATTATATTAATTATTGTTATTATTATGATCATTATGAATGTTATTATTTTCGTTATTATCATTATCATTTTTATCATTTTCATTATTGTTATTATCATTATCATTATCGTTATTACTATTATCATTATAATTATAAATGTTATTATTTTCATTATTATCATCATCATAATTTATATTATTTTTATAATGTTCATTATTATTGTTATGTTTACTATTATCATTATTATTATTCATATTATGATTACTATTACTATCATTAGTGTTATAAATGCTATTATTATTATCATTGTTGTTAATACTACTCTTATTATTATCATTATTGCCACTGTTATGATAATCATCATTACTATTGTTTTCATGGACATTCTTGTAACTTTCATTGTCTTCATTATCACTAATTTTATTGCTATAATCGCCATCAGTATCCTCATTAGAAATACCATCATTTTCTGTTGTTTAGAGTATCATAATTGTTATCTTCAATGCCCACCATATTCGTTATTATCATTTCCAGTAGTTTAGAAAAATCAACTATCGTAAATAAAACACCGGGAAATAAATCATTGAAAAAAATGCAAATTAACATAGATTACAAGCCGTTTGTTGTACACATAATCTGAAGGAAGAAAAAACTGGCAACTCTCCTTAGACTCTGCTGTACTCCATTTACCAAGTCTCCTTTGTTTAAGAAAATTAAAGTAGTGTTGTAGGCAGAATATTTTAATGAAAAGCGATAAAACATGGTTTCTATACGTTTCCAAAACTCAAAACATATGTATTCACTACTTTGCTATTTTCTTAGGAATCTGAGAATTAGAGTACTCCAGAGTCCGGACGTGAGTTGCCAGGTTTTACTTTCCGGAGGCTGGACATAGTATAGCTCTGGTCATTCTCAGTGTTTATCAAAACAATGATAAAATCATATATTCTTTACCACTGCTGGTAAGACCATGGCTATTGTTTTGAGACTTTTTCCCTCAAGGTAGCGCTTCTGTACTTAAGGTAGAAAAGGTAGAGAGCACTGATATTATCAGTAACTGATAAACACCAGAAACTCATTGTCTGTTTGAATCAGGTAATGGAGACGAGTGACTGCAACGCTCTCGGTACATCCCGAGCTTACGTATTATATATTACACTTATTCCACAACAGTAGTCCTTTAAAATCATATATCCGATTCTCATTATTTTATCTTAACCTATTCATAATCTGCTGTGTATTGCGATACTTCTGAATATGCATTAAAGTAAAAACAATTGCGCCATACATGTAACGTTCTTAAGCACTTTTTTTCGTTTTATCATCAGTGAAAACGAATACTGACGAAGGTGGACGGCATAAAACGTTTAACACCAGCAAATCTTTTCAAGTGTAAATTGTCACTTGTTCTGACAAAACACTCGCAGTGGCTCGACGTCCTCCTCTCGATGCACTTGGAAGCCTCTTCACTACAACACCACCCACTTTCTCTACACCACACACTCCCCGCAGACTTACTTTGTATTCGTCACCGCTGCCACGAGAAGTCCCGCTTCCCACTGAGGGAGTCTTACACATATCACCTCTTTTATAACGTGTGTTGGGTG